GGACTTATCACGGATCAGTCCGACAATGGGTATTTTCGGAGCAAATGTTTGTTTTTATCAATCAACCAATCAAACCCTTATTTGCGGACACACACACAACCAGGTCACTATGACTCTCCCGTAATGTCCTTCGGACAATTGTATAAATTATAGCTCTTACTTCATTCAGCTTAATTTTAAGCCTAATACTGTATTTTCCGATACTAGTTCAGTAGTATTTTTTTTCTATTACTCTCGGACATTTTTATGTTTTGGTCGCGCTTCGCTCGGCCATACATTTATCATAGCGCAGATTCAAGAGCTTAAAAAGTAAACATATTTATACAGTTATTAATGATTTATACTCACATGAAACAATAAAATGCAACGGAGCTGGATCAGTATTAAGCAATACTAGTCAACCCGGTATATATCTGATAGCAATATTTACTTAATGAAAACGGGTCATGACTAGAGTTGTTGGTGAAACTAAATTGAGTTGATGAAACTGGTGACTATCTAAAATCTGATTGGCTATTGTGGTAAACAGCCAATCAGATTTTAGATAGTCACCAGTTTCATCAACTCAATTTAGTTTCACCAACAACTCTAGTCATGGCTTTATCAAGTGACCTAATGGCTAGTTATTTGTCATTTGAGTCATTTGGGTCATTTCAGATAGTTGCCATCACTGACAAGGGGAATAGCATGCTTGTCGTTTATAATAAAGTGTTTAAAACATGTTGGTTCTTCAAAACGATGGGATGCAATATGTAATTTAATTCAAACTATAATTTGAAACTAATTTAATATAAACATTTAATTGATTAGTAGATTTCTGAACTATCTCTTAAACTGTCTAGTTTAACAAATATATTGGCAGCTAAAATTTTTATAAAATTCACTTTTGATCTGTCTTTGTTAAAATTAATTTTTTTAAATATTAGCTATTAATATAAATTATATATAATAACTTTAGGTTTTATATTTTTACAAAAAAAAATAAGGTTAACTATAATTTCAAGAATATTTATTATAAAACGCACCTATGGTGGTTTTGCACCTATCATATGTTTATTATATTTTTAGATTTTTCTAAGTTTTGAATGTAAAAATTTTTAACACAATATTTTCATATTAGAGTTAGTATTTGGGGTTAGGGTTAGGGTTAGGGTTTAGAAAGAGGTTTTTAGAGCGTAGAGCATTTTATTCAGAACTTCTTGTATCATAATACATATATAGGTGTAAACACCATAGGTGCGTTTTAGTAAAAGTCTTTAAAATATTTAGAAAATTTTTAGTTTTTGCAATTTTATCTTTGGTTATTGTCAAACTTTAAAAATTATAAAAATATATCTTCTATAATTTTAGTAAATTAAGTTATTATAACAACTTTTTATTATAAAGTTTTTATAATTTTATAATTAAATTTAACATCAATTAGTAAGAAAAAAATTTCTGTTCAAAAATATATAAAGTTTAAAAATTTTATAGTAAAATAAAAAGGATTATCTATATTTAAACTCTTTTTTTAATTATATAAATAAAATTAAAATTTTAATAAATATTAATTAATTAATAATATACTAAATTTTTTATTTTAGCTTAGTAATAGAAGACTTATTCTTAAGAAAATTTTGAGTAATTTTAAAACATACTAAAAAAAATTATAGTGGGCAAATTTGCCTGCTGGACGGTTTAAGGGATACTGTTACGTTTTACAAACATTTGCTAGATAACTCATGAAAAATTGAACAGCCTGCACAAACGTGAAGAAGTTTTTCCAATCCAGTTGAAGAAAAATTGATCATAGCTAATGAATTTCTTAATCGTGTTCAAGTTGATTTAATTTTAATGACTAGCTTTCCAGATGGAGACTTTAATTATGTTTGTCACATAAGCTACAATTCTTCTTTTAGGGCCTAAACAATTTGCCGAATTGGATAATAGTCCTTTAAAAGTTATAAATGTGCAAGCACAATTAATCTCATAAATAGGTAATATAAAATGTATTTTTAAGGGTAAATGTGAATAAATCACTGCAAATGATAATAGTAAAGTTGCCTTGTGGAAGTAGCTGTCACCTCAATAATCATGCTTGTAATAATTAGTGTAGTTAAAATTATAACTAGAAATATGCATATATAGCTTTGCAATGTGTTGTTGCTTAAATTGAATCCAAACGCTTTTAAATTTAAAAATGTGTATGATTTATGTTTGATTTTCTATCACAGATCTAGTAAGATATACAAATACGTACGATATAAAAGACATTCATATCATTTGTACTTTGATAAAACATTAGGATGCGAAATTTTTTTATTTTTTTTATTCTTGTGTTAAAAGATGTCACCAAAGACTCACAGAAAAACAATAAAGCTTTTCACGTAAATAATGAATCAAATACTCATAATAAAACAGTAGAAACTTTTCAAAAGAAAATAAAAGGTGTAAAAAATATATTCTTTTAATATATTGTAGCTTGAAATTACAGGCTAACTTCAGAAAACCCGGAATTGAAAAATTAAATTTAGAATTTAGATCTAACATTGAAAATAGTAAGAACAAATCCCAAAACTCTAACGACCCGGGTACGGGTAGCTCAGCGGTAATGCTTCCGGGTTTGCAATCAAAAGATCGTTGGTTCGTCTCCCGTCTTGTGTCTGCGAATACTACGACGAATACGGGTTACGGTGTACCACGAGGGAAAATACTGTCGTGTTATAATGCATAATGTATCATAATACGTATTTATGAATATCGTTATTTTTATGTATTTCTTATTTTGTCATAGTTGGGTGATTGAAGCCCAAAGCGAGGGATTAAACCCCCAAGCGAGTGAATGAACCCAAATGAGGGATTATTACTGTGATAATCCGATGTATTAATTTATGTTAATAAAGAGAAACCTTATATCTGTAATTATGTGTGTTAGTTTATCGATTTAAACCATTTGACCTTAATCACTAATTGTTCACGATCGAAACTAAATTGGTTCAAGACCCTATAAAGCTCTCCCCGATCGTAACACCGGTTGCCTAGTTTAGGATCCGAAATCGAGAGGAATAAGTCAGATGGTCGAACCTTGGAGATAAGCGCCCTAATAGGAAAATTCCGGATGACTATTAAATTAGGAAAAGTCGGACAACGCCCCAGCTGAGGGATTCTTAAATGGTGAGGACCTTACGAATTTAGAAAGTTCTCGATGATCGAAAGGCTAGATGAATAATAAGTTGCCAAGGCAAGTCCAAGGGCGATCCTGCCTGAGGGCAAAATAAAAAAAGTTTTTAACTGTGATCACTAAATAATATAATTTAACTTAATAATTTTAAACCAATCACCCATTATCGAAGACCCATGTTAATTACTCACCATTCCTCTGTCTACAGGTATTTTGAGTTTAGTCTATATTAAATTTGGTGTCCTAAAAATGTAGTAATTATTTTCAGACTCGATAATAAATCTTCATATTGTATACATATTAGAAACAAAAATTAAATATACTACAGTATATTGATAAATTTATCTTATTCTTATAATAGTTTAACGTTTTTAGATTTTTTGGTTTGATATGTGCAGAAAGTTAAATGCTTAATTTCGGATGTATTAATGGCTAAATTCGATATTGTCGTTAATCATTTTTTGTTAACGATTTATACTATATAATTAAAAAAATAATTATAAAACTAAATTTAAGCATAAGTATCTAACGAAAGTGTAAATAACTTCCTTTTAAATTGAAGCTCTCAACTAGCTCTACGTGGTAATAGAGCTACTTTTCTCAATTATTACATAAATATTAATTATTAATATTTAATTAATTTTTTTACTAAATTTTAAAATTTTATTTAAAAAATGTCTATTGCCATGTAGAGCTAGTGGAGAGCTTCAAGTTAAAAAATATTATATACACTTTTGTTAGATACTTGTGCTAAAAAATGTAAATTTAATTTAATATTTAAATATACGGCCTATAAAAAATCCGAAATTAATGATCTTCATGTTTGATGAATTAGTTTAGTCCGCATCCTAGTGTCTCATTGGAATACAGGAATAAACCAAAATTATAATATATAATGGCATGCACATTGAATTTCTTATTGAGAACGATAAATTTAGTTAATCTCCAATGGGTACGTAAGTTTGTGGTTTGGCGTATTATGCGCTGTACGTACGTACATCGCATTGCATTGAACCATAATCATTTTTGTCATATGAAATATTGAGTCTGAGCCTAATTAAAGGTTGACTCTTGGGAGTGAATAGCCTTACTAGTAACGATTATTACGATTAATTGTAATTGATTTTTATGGCAATTTCATAATGTGGAATGCAGATACATATTAATTTTAGCCAATCAGCGTAATTTTATGAAAAAGAGATGATGTTACAAAACTTTTTTTTTGTTTTTCTTTCTTTTCTTTGAGTAATTTGCCTGTATATAGTTAGCACTCTATACTTAACTACCGTCATAAAGTAAACTCTACGATGACACTACCCTTAATTAAGTGTTTCGCTAACCCGTAACGTCCTACTCAGCATCTGGATTTTCGGCCTCAATAATTCCAGATCGACCGCATAGCCTAAATCTTGGATAGATCGACAACCTTAAACCTTACAGCGCATACGTACCTGCAGAACTTAAATGTGTGACAGGTTACGCTAATTGCTCAACATCGGCCTATATTAAACAGTTTTTAAATGTTATGGTTAGATTGAAAGAGCGTTAGAAAGAATAGTTAGGTAAATCTATACCAAAATTATGAGTAGAATCTTTTTTCTTAGAGCACCAAGAGCGGTTTCATAGGCAAAATTTTGGAATAAAAAAAAAAAATTTCTTGATTTTGTCGATCAACCTGTCACACATTCTAGATGTGCTACGTACCTAATTGTTCTCACGTGATCAATAAAAGGGCTGTTATATGATCTGTAGGACCGTGATCCACTTTCCTTACAGCTTGTAACTCAGGTTTATGTTTGCGATCCTGAGCTAAGTCCTAAACTCTAAACTCATAGAAGTCATTATATGGGCTATGTTCTGCAAAAAGGGGGGAAATCAACAAAAAAAAAAGATCTTCAGAAAATCAATTTTTGTGTTAGTAAATTATAAGAAATTGCAAATTTTAATAATACCACTACTTTTGTGTTTAAGTAAAAAATGATTCTGATCGTATTTTAAATTAATTCATATAATTTTAAAAAATTTGTAAATTCCCCCCCTTTTTTGCAGAACATAGCCCATATGATTGGCTAATTAAAGTTGATCAAAACGTGATTGTTGCCAATCAAATCAAATGAATTTATAAAACAAAAAATAATAAATAATAAAGTATTCACTTCTAGATGAAGTTCTTCATTATTTTTGCACAGTATAACAGTGAATATAGAGTTCTTTCAAATCTAGAATGTAATTTCTTGTTAGGGGCTGTTACGTTCTCAAAAGTACTTTAAATGTATAAATAAGTTACCCGGTCAATTGATTTACATCAGCCAATCACACGAAATTTTCCTAAAAGGTCTAGACTATCGGAGTTTTTTTTTATCCTAAACTTTTTTAAAAATTAATCTTCAATCTGAGGTTCTTATGCACGTTATCCAGTAGATCAGAGGGAAATTTTATTGGTCGGTAAGTGAATGAATTAACAAAGCCATTACTTGAGCAGGAAAAAAAAGATAAAAAAACAATTTAAAAACTCGAACCAAGCACGATAATTTGTTATCGTATATCACTAAAAATGTGTATAATTACTCTGTATCTCATATTTAATTGTGCTAATTTGTTTATTCAATCATTTGATTCAAGTTTACGAACATATACTTATTTTATTCGCAATAGTTTAGTTTATGAATGTAAAATGCAATTATAGTACTACATATATAATTTGTTCGATTTGTATAAAACATCTTTTTCAACGATGTATTTAAAACAAACTATTCTAGTTCGTAAATACTTTCATTACAACTTCCTCTTATTTATTCATGTTAACTTAGCTTAGATACAATTTAAAATAATTATGGTTACATAACACTGCTCATCTAGTATCTTGGAATCTATTCATTGAATTCGAACATATTTACCGAGGGTCGATTCTAAGTTTGAGAATCAACTAATCATTCTTTTAAAAATTTTTGGGGGTTTTTTTTGAAGAAATGACTAGCTAATTCCTAGAACTAGTGATGTGATCCGTTGATCGGCAATCCAGATAACTGGTTGAAATCTGGATTTTTGTGTAATCTATAGTTGTTAACTGTAGTTAACTACTTGAACTAGGATAACTGTAAAAACTTTTGTTAACTATAGTTATCTATTAAAACTATGGTAAGCTATTAAAACTATGGTAAGCTATTAAAACTATACGAAGAATTTAAGTAATGCTCAACGCCTTTGTGACTTTTTTGATTAAGCTGCATGAACTATATGGATTGCCCCGCTTATTTTTACATATGAGTGCGTGAGAGTGAAAACAGGAAATAAAATTTAACCAATCCAATCATAAATTTTATTTCCTGATTTTCACTCTCATGCAATCATATAACCAATTTTGACCAAATAAGTACATATATAAAATTTTACAGATTTGAATAGTTCATATCACTAAGTATGCACTAAGTATGAAATATACAAAATTGTACTATATGAACTGTAATCTGTATCATCCGGATTTGATTTTGTGCAATCTGTATCATCCGGGTTGAAACAGTTCATATCACTACTCAGAACCAGATGCAATTTTAAGTTGAGAGTCGAATTTGAATATTATACCTATTTTTAATTTCATTCATGTTAATTCTGTTTAGTATAAAGCTTAATCAATCTTTTTGCATAAGCTATTTAGAGTTCATGATCAGCATCTTATTTACTTGTGTTATTTTGCTATTTAAAATAGCTATAATTACATAATACTGCTCGTTATTCGTGTTACTAATCTTAGTTTTATTTTAAGCAATGTATTAAAATTCACGAATTCATAAATTTTTTATCACTCTAAGTTTAATTGGTATTTAAATTTCTATAATTATTAAATTCGTGAATAATACATTTAATTATTTTGCATAAAAAAATGCATAGATTAATCGGACTGTTGAGGGGCTGATTCTTAATTTATAAACCAAAGCTCGTTCTCTCTTAGTAGCACACACGTGTGCTTGTATAGATGCACCAATCAGAATGCCTTTAAAAGTACGTACGGTGCAGGAAATTTAAAACCCTCAATATTTCTATGTAGAGATGATGCATAAACTCCGAAAATAAATTTCTTAATTATCGATCTCAATAAACGAAGGGTTAGAACTCTAAATCTCTTTGCGTAAAAACGATAAGTAGAGAACAATATATACATAATAACATGCTGCTGAGAATGACAAATTTAGCTTATCTTCACTGAGCTAACCAACCTTTATTCTATATAAAGTCATTGAAGTTTTTAGATTTCCTGCACCTTACGTACGTATACAGTATAGTACCTTATTTGGTGCTAATAATTAGAAAAATATTTGCGCTTGATTTTCTTTATATTGTACTTACGCCCATAAACGCAGAGCTGGAAAATTCAGAACGATCTTCCTGTTAACATATTGCGCAATAATTGAATTACCTGAGAGAATATGCATGCACATCCCGAAATAACATGGCGTTACGTGAAGGAGCGATTGTACTGTATCCATACGTACGTACTGCACGTACAGTGCAAGAAATCTAAAAATCACAATCTACTTATAGAGTTATTTCCTTAATTATTATTAGCATCAATAGAGTACATAAATACTTTATTTATTAAAGTCGAAATATTTGATTTCCAATGTACTAATTGCAGGCAGACAATCTTCCCACAGTTAATATAACGTATAATTGTAATTTAGTTAAATCAAATATTTTTTTAAATTATCGATTTTAATAAAGTATTTATTTACTTTATGATGCCAATAATTTAGGAAATAACTTGTTTATACTTGTCTCTATAAGGAAATTGTGGTTTTTAGATTTCTTGCGCTGTAGTACGTAGTACGTACAAGCAAAAATAACGCCCATGGTGTTATTTTTAAAATCGGGTGCTTCAAACTAGTATTCGATTAACGCACATCTAATATAATTTATTAGTGTGACAGTATATTAGAGATTCTGAAAATAAAATATGTGAATCTTTTCGTCTAACTTTTCCAAATACTATTCTTAAAATTCAAAAACTTAGTAATATGAACTTTTATAGTCGTGTGGTAACATTGCTTGATTGTAGTGTACGTACTAATGGATGGACTGTAAAGAATACAACATATGGTAAATGTATGGACTTGCATAAGATTAGATTGCATCAGACGTGACTTTATAACAAAAAAGAATTATATATACATACGTACGCACACTCAAATTGCAAAGGTATAATTCATTTTTGTTGAATTGAATTTATTTCAATGACTAACTTATCAGATATACCAACAATTTCTTTTATCGGAGCATTAATAGTCCTTTCTGTTATCTATTCTTTCTTTTACTACTTATATAAAAACGGAATCAAAGCAGTTCTTTCTTTCTTATCGACATTATGTATTTTTTTGATTATTGGCTATACTTTATTACTTATCGTTTTTATTAAACCTAATGTCCCTGACGACAATATAGAAAAACTAAGAGAGCAAGTCTTTTTTTTCCCAGAATATAATAGTACTTCAAATACTTTTGAATGCCTTAATAATAGTATAGATTATTCAGAACTTCAATCTAAATCTAGTCATACTACCATAGTTAATCAACTCTCAGGGTTTAGTACTATTGCAGTATTACTTTTTAACATTGTTGTTTATGGTGTAACTTCTCGATTAGGTCTTAGAAATACTTGCATTGTTGACGATTTGTTAATTCTCTCATGTTTTCTTGTACCAATCTTTTCATGGTTCTTTACTTCTAAATTTCTTTTTTATTTCCTTTATGATCATGCAAACCCTATCTATATTAAATTATTTTTGTCAGTATTTGCTTATATGAATTTATTTTCCTTTTTTTTCGTATGTTGGATGGTAGATGATTTTCACAATTTGTCCGTATTTCCATTCAATTATATAAGATTATTATTCAAAAATTCATTTACTTCAAAATACCATCGATTTAGCGTTATTAAACATATTATTGTATTTGTTTGTTTTATTAATTCACTTACAATGGTTTTTTGTGATGCGATGCAAATGGCTGGTCAAACTCGCCATCCCAATTTTACTTATACGTGGGATTTAGTACATTTAGATGCAATTTTGAATTTACAACTTTTAAACTTACTTACCGATGCACTTTACCTTATATTAAACCTTTGGTTGATTATAACTTGTTATTTCAAAAATTTCAAAAAAAAAATTATTCCCAAAAAAATTTTCTTTTTTGTCATTTTTATTTCTATAATAGAATGTTTTTTCGAATATGATGTATATTGTACCCCTAAAAAAGTTGATTCAATTTATTTCTTCATTCTTTCAACTGTTATAACTCGTTCAATTTCATCATTTTTTTCTCATGATAAAGATATCAAAGTAGTAGAACTTATGAAGCATGGGTTTAAATTTGATAATGGAGGCAATGAAGGAATTCCTTTTTACAGAGATCCATATAAATTTGTTTTTCTAACGGTTCTTTCTGAAGAACACGTATCTAGATTATTAGGTCAGCAAAGGCTTTATCTAAATGCTGATTTAGATGATGATAGGAAAAGTTTTGTTAGAAATTTTCAAAGGCTTTATCTGAAGTATTATCTGATATTTTACCTGAAGAAGCACTTAAAGAATCTATTTCCGAATATAAAGGAGCCAAACGAACGAAATGATATATTTGGAAAAATTTACGAAGAACTTTACGCAGATGAAAATTATGAAAATATTAAACAAATTAAAAAAATTGATAACAAAATTTATAAATACATCCGACTTATCAATAAAAATGACGGTAAAAATAAAATTGATAAAGACATCATAAATATCCCAGGCATAAGAAGAGGTTTATTTGCTAAGAAACTTATTAAACATGCGCTTGTTTATATGAATATTCTTGAAACAGGAATATTTCAATATTTTACTTATTCACATCGAGCAAATACACCAGAAGTACCAAAAGATGTACCAAATAAAGTAACAAATGAAGTAACAAATGAAGAAACAAATGAAAAACCAAAAGAAGAACCAAGAGAAGAATCAAAAGAAGTAACATATAAAGTAACAAATGAAGAACTAATTGAAGTAACAGATAAAAAAAAAAAAAAACGTGATAGTAAAGACAGCAAAAAAAATAAGAAAAAAGGAGAAGGAATGCTTTGGCTTGTAATCCCTGATATTTACGAATTTAGTGATTATGATCGTTATAATTTTAACAAAAGATTTAAAACAGAGAAAGATATTGAAAAAGGAACTACAATTAATGATATTGATGGTGAAAATATTATCGCTGAAGATTTCATTAATGATATTGATGATGAAAATGATATTAAAGATAGTAAAAAAGGAACTACAATTAATGATATTGATGGTGAAAATATTATCGTTGAAGATTTCATTAATGATATTGATGATGAAAATATTATCATTGATGATATTAAAGATATCATTGATGATATTAACGATATTATAAATGCTTTTAAGAAGAATGCTGAACCAGACATTGAAGGCCCTGATTATGGTGATAAATCAGACATTAAAGACTCTAAAAATGGTGATAATACAGACAATAAAGATGATAAACCAGACATTGAAGACCCTGATTATGGTGATAAATCAGATATTAAAGACTCTAAAAATGGTGGTAAATCAGACATTAGAAAGAATATTAAAGAGATTCTTGTTAATCCAAAACAGGAAAATATTAAAATTTTGAAAACTTTTCCTGATAAGTCAGGTATTGTTAAAACAATCATTATTGAATTTTTTCAATTTGTTATAAAAATTAAACGATTAGAGATTATGCTAAATATCAAAGATCAGAATATTAAAATAGAAAAATCTGAATAGAGGTAATCTTTATAAAATCATACTTCGGTGCTCAATGCACATAATTTTTTTTATAGTCAATATTTAGGACTAAGGTTTAGAAATTAGGGCAATATTAGATAATGGGGTGGGGCTTAAATGTTGGATGTAGCTATAAGTATTTTAGGGGCTAAACATTTTGCTTAAGACAACAAGCATTAATTATATAACAAGTTTTTGAGATACAACGATTGCAGAACATCACTAGTATTATTTGATTTTGTTATATAATAAAGATATATATTTTATAAGTTATATATATATATTTACATTGTTAATTAACATGTTAGAAGGTTTTATTATCATTATTATTGTTATTTTAGATACCGTTTAAACGCAAAATAAACGTTGATTTTCACTTTCCCGAAACTTACCTTCCTGAAATACCATTTCCGACCCCATAATTCCGAAATCCCTTTTTCCCGACAAGACATATTTCTGACAGTCTATTTTACTGATAGAAATTTTTTGTCGAATTTTTTTTTCCCGCTGAATTTCTGAAAAATTTTATTCGACAAACTTTTTTACCAACAAAACCCTTTCTCCGAACTCCTGTTCCTAGGCAAAAATTTTTTCCGAAGCTTTTTCACTGAAAAATATTGTTATATTTCCCCGAAAGGATGTTTCTCCGAAAAGATATTCCCCCCAAAGAAATATCCCTTCTCGATTGAACAAAATTGCATAAATCAGACTAACTCAATATAAACAGGCTAACTTTGTCGGTGAAATGTTTATCGGAAAATTAGTTTATACCTTTTTCAAGTTATCAGGTGACCCAGAATTTATAAAATAGTTGTAAATTCGATAAAACATCCTTCGGTAAAAGAGGTTTCAATAATATATTTCAAAGAAATAGAATGTCAGAAAAATGTATCATTCGGAAAAATGGCATGTCAGTAAAATAGACGTGAAATGGAAATTGCAGATAAATGACTTATCAATAAAATTTATTATCAATTAAATGATATTTCGGCAAAATGTGACTTTCGAAATTATGCCTTGTTAGTAAAATGGGATGTCAGTATTATGACTTCAGCGAAATGGTATTCCAGTAAAATTGATTTCGGGAAGTTAATTCGTAACCTTTTATTAATCTAAATATTTGGTATTTCCAAATCACGGAATAAAAAAAAAAAAGATTATCAAACAAATGTTATAATATAGAGTAATGTAATATTAAACAATCTAAACTTATAGTTATCTTGATATTTATAACCACTATTACTGGTAAATAAATTAAATATATATATAATGTGATCCAGTATCTATACATATCTTTTTTTTTGATCAGATTAGATAATTCGATAAAGTATTTTCAGTATTCTGCCATTCTGTAAAAATTTCCTAAATTTTCTTTCTTTTTTGAATCCATATTTCAAGATTTTATATTTATATTGTCGAACATGAGCTTACCTATATTAAATAACATAAGCTTTATCGAACTATCGGACTGATTTTCAAAACTCGTGAAAAAAATAATGCACTTGTATAATATGAATTTATACATCTCTTATAATTCGAAGAACCCGTTTCAACTTTTAAAATTAACCCAAATCGCTAATCCGGGTGAACCAATTCAAATAAAAATCATCTGGTTTTAACAAATTATGGCCAACCAAGACCAACTAACATTAATGTCAGAAGCAAAACTTCCAGCACACGGATAAGCGCATGACTTATTAATAATTAACATGGTGTATATTTCAGCTCAAGGATTGATATTGTTATATAATAATACAGTTAATTAATAAAAAATAATTAAAAACACGTAACAACTAATCGCGATTAATTTATGGCGATGGATCGGTCTTCGAAACTAATAATTTTCGGATTTCAATCTCATAAAAGTCCAGTTTAGATTAAATTACGGTCCTTACTGATAAAATAAGTATAATTTTTTTATTTTTACTAACAATGAGTAGCAATGAAAATTTACTGTTTTCATTTTTCAATATTTTTCAAAACGTAAGACATACACAATAATAATATAAGTGATTCAAGAATGACCAATTTGTCGAATTATGGTGTGGGAGACCAGATTCGTACGTTATCGTGCAAACTCTTATGATCATAGAATTTTTCTTGTTATTTTTTGTACGTTATTACATAAGCACAACAATCTCAAATTAAAATTCAGTTAGCAAATGATGACTTGTAAATCATGATCATAATTGTACGATAACATCGATATTTGTGCGATGATAAATATCATAAAATTCGTTCTGCCGGAATAAATGGTTGGCTGAAATGTGCTGCGCAGCGGCACATGTCAGCCAACCATTTGCTCCGACAAAACAAATTTCATGATATTAATCGTTACATGACCAATATCTTATAAGTATGAGGTGTAAAATACCTTATTCTAGAATTTATACGGTGTCATATATTACAGCATTGGGTTAAAAATTATCATTATAGTATATTGGTTTTAAAATAGGTATTTTACACCCTTTACCATACTATTTTGATCATCCAGTAATCTAAAATTTGATTAATCCACCTCTTAGGTTTATAGTTCAACATAGCTTAGCGCAGATTTCAAAAATCCTATCGTAAAATATTACACAAGAAACAAGCTTTTTGTTTGGTAAAGAAATTTTGCAAGATTTTGATCTCGGTCTGCTTGCCAAATGATGCTTAAAAGGTAATAACAAAATTTTGTGAAAGCTTATTTGCACTTTTAATATAATGCAAGTTACATTTTCTAAATTATCTAAATTAGTATCTAGGAAAATTTTAAATTATACTTTAAGTATAATATTTTAATAGCATTTATATTATTAAATAAAATATGAGATAAATAATAAAATTGTATTTCCTATTGATGATTGATGAACTATCATAATGAGAACTTCTTAAAACACTTAAGCTATTATTTCGAGGTGTAACTGTGGATCAGGTAAGAATCGATGTACGGATACCGATCCGGAATCGGGAAATATGTGTGATACGGATATCAGTCAATATAAAACAATACTCTATAACTACTAAACTCTATCTAAACCCTAATATGGTAGGCTACGATCGAGGCGTGTTGAGACTTTCAAATAGAGCTCTAGATTACTCTAATTCGGGGTCACGGGTTTATACTACTAACTTTATGTAATTTTGACTTATCGGGGGGTAATTGGACCGAAACTTTGAAGTCAGAATACTAGACTCTCTATAAGTCAAACTTTAATGAGCTTCTTTATTCTTTGAGCAAAAAGATAGGTCTTAAATAACTTTTGACCTTTGCTGCGTACATAAGGACTGTGCTTCTCTAATTTTTACTATCTTACTCTAATTTTCTAGTTTCTGAATTAGATCACGATACAAATTGTATCTAGAAGAGGATACAGATTCGAATTGGCTTAGATGGATACAAATTGTATCTAGCAATAGATACAAATTCTATCTGGCATTATATCTCTCTATGGGAAAAATTCTAATTTTTGCAGTGTTGATCTTTCCTGCTTTTTTCGTACTTAGGTTGTATAGTAATAATTGTAAAATACCACCAATAACATATCACTAGTAATAAAAATAACTTAGCAGAAACTTGAATTTTTGCCATTTATGATTATCATATGATAGTTATATAACTATTATATAATAAAAATATGATAAAAATATTTTAATAAAAAAATATAATAAATATATGATAATATGCTATATTAACTCTTTCTGTCGATCACTTGAACCAAATTTTCTGCTAACAAAAAAACTAAAAGAAAATCTGTTGGAGAGTTGAGTAAACTATAGTAGTGGTTTGTGGTTCTAAAAATTGAGGTCAATGTACTCTGGGGACTCCTTGCCATGTTTGGCATGCAAACCAAAAGCCTTGATAAGAGGAAAATGCAAGTAGCACTCTTGGCTAGTAAAAATTTTGGTGGACAACAAAAGCTCTGTCGACAAAGCTACATAGCCTATAGCTCTGAGAAAACTTTAGTGGTGGTTTTTAGACAACAAGAGGTCAACCTAGGTTTTACAGGAGACTCCTCTCTATATTTGGCATGCAAGCCAGAAGCAAACATACGAAGGAGGAAAAGGCAGATGGCACTCTCTCTGTGTGTAAATTTTGTAGAACAAAAGTTCTGTCAACAAAACTAAAAGTTTATTCTTGGAGTCCAGGAGTACAACAGATTCTTTACTTTTTTTTTAACACACTCTTTTGAATTTTGGCTTTTCTGCACTCATCTCCTACTTGTCATCATTTTTTTACAAAATTTTTCAAAAAAAGTAGGGATTTGGCTACCTCCCTCCAAATGATTAATATTGTTTACCACTTCCATTTTTAGAAGTTGTCATTGCAATGTGGCAAATTAGGGAAACAACAAACACGTTTCAGAGCGTGTAGCGATTTCTATTATTGGATTTAATTTGTGAAAAGGTTTTTAGTTTTTTTTAGATGCTTTTATTAGTATCATATAAGATATACGCTATCCTGAAGTTACATGTATAATATTTTTTTTAACCTGGCACAGATTATAATAGTGCTCTTGCCAATTTTGTTTCTTCTTTTTTTATCCTGTCTTTTTTTTTCTTTCTTTCTGTTTAGGGTTTTTTATGTAGTTTTTTTTTGTGGTATTCGTTTTGGTATTTTTTTTTTGGGG